TTTTTGGACCCTCACCGGAACACGAACGGAGACCTCTCGAATATGCGCCGAGCCTGCTAACCGTTACACCACGAATACACGCTGGAAGAAGGGAGAAAATACCCTATAACATCTTCCTCATTCTTTTCCACTTACATCGTCTACTCCGTACACTCTCCTTTCTACAGGTAAAGAAAAATTAAATTAAGTTTTCGGCTATTTTATTTGTTTAACATTGTGTTTATCTTTTTATTACTTCCTTGAATGAAGTAAAAAGGAACTATTGTAATCGCGAAAAGTTTCAGGCAGAATATTTCAACGACAATATCCATTTAACCGCTATTGAATGAATTTAACGATGCTTTTGCGTGACATCTGTACCTAAGCACAATAAAAAAACTCTTTTCTCCCAAAAACAAATTATAAAACTGCTTTAAAATGAATTCTGAAGAGAATTTTTCGTGGCGTACGTACGTACGTACGTATCTCGCATAACTCAAAAACGAGTAGCCTCAGAACGTTGAAATTTTGTATATAGGACTACTATAACATGTAGATGTGCCCCTCGTATTTTGGTTGCAATCGGCCGCACCAAACATATATAAATGTATTTATATATATATCCATTCTGTTACCCGGCTCAGTGACCTCAGTTTCTTTACTCTTATATGTTTGTAAATTATGCATTTTTTGCTTAATAAAATGATTAAATTATGTTGTTCTTATCTTCCGTTTAAGGTTTTTATGCCTTTAAGAAATCTGCAAGCAGTATTTGTAGAATTATCAACAATTTAAAAGCTGTTTAATTGTGGTTAAGCCTAATGTTTAAGTAACATGGAGACATGCTTGTTTACATTTGAAACAGCAGAATAGTAGATTTGTTTCCAATCTAGAAAGACTAAGCTTCGCAACAACAAAGATAACGCCTTCATGTATTATTATTACGAATTAAATCATGCTTAATCCTTTCTGGAATTGTTTCGAGGAAATAAGTGTTTAAGATTTACTTCGTAATTTTTAATACAGATATCTCGAGTTTTTATGTATTTTTGCCTTGTCGAGAAGTGAGAACTGAATTATTTATTATACATCGTTCTAGATTTATTATAGTATTTGAAAAGAACATGTGGCAACAATTAGATAATTCTTCAAATGATATAAATTTTGTGCATTCTTAGTTATAATATGAACGAAATATAACGCTGTTAAGTGAACTTAGCGCCACAGTGTCGCTGTGGTAAACAAATATAGTGAATTTATTCTATTGTGGTTTATGCTGTATCGTCGAAGTAGATTTCATTCAATCCAATAAGTCAAAATGAAATGCAAGAAAAAATGGGTATAATTTAATATTCCGCACAAGGAAGTCGCGGTGTACACATTCGATTTTTTAATATGTAACGATTTCTATCGGTTTGGGATTATGAAATTTTGCGCAAATTATACTGTTGTAAAATTTTAATAAACAATCATCTGTGGCTCAGAAACAAAGTAATGCATTTTACATTAATTTCTTTGGGAAATATTGCTTCGGTTTACGAACATTTCTGTTGAAAAACGACCTTCAAGAACGAATCATGACAGTGAACTAAGGTTTCGCTGTAGACATTGATATATGAAAACATGCAAAATATTATTGCTACCTATATCCGTAGGTCTTTAATTGCAAATATTTAAAATTGAGTTTATGAATTCCAATATATAGGGAATTCCAAGAGAATTAACTTTTTCAATCAAGAACTTGAGTAACAGTCTTAAGAAGTGAGAACGTAAATGAAAACTGCTTTAATTTATGGTAATTATTCTACCGGAAAGCTTTTGAAATTCCAAATTCGCCTGTATTATTTTAAAATCTTAAATGTATTACAATTATTATATGCAATATTTCTTACAAATGTAAATTCGAACGAAGATTTTGTGTCTTCCTATGTGCTGCAAATTCAAATAATAGAATCATATTATTTTCTGTTCTCTATGTAGATCTTAGGGAAAATTATGGGATTTCGTTCTTAAGTATCTTTTTGGTTGAAAAATGGTGCTACATCTTCTGTACATAATAGCAGCCATTTTTATGGTTAAGTTATTTAAATATGCCAAACTCACAAGGGATATCTTCCTAAGAGAAGGGATGCTTTCGAGGAAGACTTTCTGAGGGAAATTAGCTCGTATTCAAGTTACATGTGAGGAAAATCACGAAAACCAGACACGCATCTAATCCGTTCGTCGGAGGTGGAACCTAGGTCGAATTCTCGGTACTCAGCGGTCTTAATTTTTCGGCTAGTGATGAGCACTGTTTTCATGGAACTATAGTGGTTAGCGGTCGTTGACTGCCGTGCTGAAGAACTCGAGTTAGAACCCCGAAGATGGCATGGATGTTTGTAAATGTATAGTGTGCGTGCGGATGGGAGTGCTCTAAATATACGGCCAGCCGAAAGTCTTCTCGAAAGGTTAATGATAGGGAAAGAGGGGTGGAAGACTCTCGATCCCGACCCTCCCTAGGGTTTTCTCCATCAAAGTTGTGGGTGGAACTGAGCTAAATTGCACTGTCATCTGTAAGGTGCTCAAGGCTGTTGCCAACGACAGACGTATCTTTCACTCCTTGCCACAAGGAATTTTGTGGGCTTGGATTGACTATAGCTTAGCCAAGTGAGCATTAGTCAACAACAACAACAATAATTTTTATGAAGCTATGCGTAGGTGTTGGTGTATTTAATTATGGCAAAGCACACAAGGGCTATTTGCCTAAAGGGAGGGATGCTCTCGTGGAGGACTTTCTAAGGGAAACTGGCTCGTATACACGTTACACATGGGGAAAACCACGAAAACGCCCATGCAGCTAGCCCGTTCGCGGGATTCGAACCTCAGACCGAACTACCAGTGTTCAGCGTCTTTACCGCTCGGCCGCTGGTGGGCCTAAGCTATGCGTAGAAAATGTAAGAGCAAGGAATGATGATTCTAAAATAATCTTGATGAGCTTTGTTATTATTAGAATTCTAAATTATTAAATTAATATTAATAAATATATATTTGTTTCTTGTTACACTTTCATAATCTGCTTTATAATTTTTTCTTTGATAATATAACTTTACAATACATTAATATTGATAAAATAAAGAAAAGGATTAGAAATAAAAGATAAAAGAGAATAATAATTTAAATGCCATGAAATGTTTTTTTTAATAAAATAATTTACTCATGCAATAACTGCTGCACTGCTAAATTTACTTCATTTGTCAAGATTATCAATTTTATGATTATTACTCTATTTTATAGGACTTTACTTTATTTAATTTAATTTGAAATCTGAAAAGCTTATAATTTTATGATGTTTTATTCTGTATCATTAAATTTCAAAATTAAGATTACCTTAATTCTGAATTTTAATGGCACTGAATAAAATTATTGAAAAGTTGTATGTCTTTTTCTACAAGATAAGTTAATAATTGAAAATATATTTCTTTATACAAGTAAAAAAATATCTAATATATAAGTGCAAAACTTATGTATGATATTTACTCTCACATATTAATTTAATACTTGCACTTAATATTAGACATGCAGTAAAGTTCTGATATTAAATGTAATACGGTTATTTTATACAAAATATCAGCAGTTTATACATAAATATATAAGTAATCCTGCAGATGAAATAATTTGATTTAAAAAAATGTCTTTAAAATTTAATATATTTTCGCTATAATCTATATATCAATCGTTTTAATTTATTGCTCAGAAACTTATATTTATTTTCTTACTACTTAAAGAAAATCTGAAATCAAAATACTGATGTTACATTGTATACTATTATGGATTGATGCTTACATTTTCTGCTGTAGAATATTTTTAATGTGAAAATACTCGAAATGATAAATTTCTAAATGCAAAATCGTCAAAGACCTTTTCCAAATTCTAAATGCAAAAGATATTCTCCAGATTTCAATTCTAAAATTGAAATGAATTTAATAGTGTGCATGCGTAATATGGAAAACAGTTTATTTTGGAATACAAAACCTGTTTTACCTCGAATATTAAGATCTAGAAACTCAAACTCATATGTGTGCTAAAATTTTTAAATTACCACGACACAACTCATTTTGCCATACATGACATTTTTATAGTATGAATAATGTACATTTTTCCTAAAAAAACATTGTTACATGTATACACTATAAATCTGTAGTGGTCCAGTTATTGCTAGTATAATGGCCTCGTTATTGCATGAGTCATAATTGTTTTTAATTTCAAGTATTTTATATACTTTTGCATGTGTTTAAATACTTCATAAAATTAACTTTGACGTTTTGTTAATATTTTTATTTCTTTTATGCTGAATGGCAAAAAGTAATTATTCATATTTATATTTCTTTCACGCTGAATGGCAACGAGTAATGAATCATGATTAGTTTAGTTTTCGAATGTTATTCTATAAAATAGAAGCAACTCCTTTTGATAGCTGAAAAATAAGAGCAATAAACTTAGCTATTTGTTTGTAATTTTTGCTGTTTGTAATCATAATTTAGTTTAAACATTACTAGCCAAGGCTACAAATCCAGACTTACCTTTTCTGAGTCAAGCGGATGTCATTTTCCGTCACTCTCCAAGCTGATTTCAAACAGGAATATTTCGTGTGACAGCTAGACATTGATAACAAATATTGCATAACACAGTCTGATCTGTTTATCTTAATGTAAGCACAAGATGATAATGTTTTGTTTGGAATACAAATTACAAATTTTTGTTGCTTTCCATGTGATTTTAGTTGCTTACGATTTGTTAACATTTGTTTTCATTTTCAATGATTGCATGCATGCAAAAAAATAAATAAATATTATTATTTCTCCTTTCGATTATAGTGTTAATTTTGATAAGACACAATGCATTTATTCATTGTGATAAATTATTATTATTTTCAAATACGTTTAATGACTTATAATTAATAAATTATGAAACATTTTGTTAAGAATACAGCTACTGATATTTTCAACTTAAATAAAAAATATATTAAAATCTAAAATGTACACTAAAACAAATAAATACAAATTTTTATTATTTTAAAACATCCAAAACAGAATACAGATCTGCAATAAAACAAGCAAAAGGGCTGCAGATAAGTATTTTACACATAACTCTGAAACTGTAAAAAATAAACGTAAAATATAAACATCCAAGTGCAACAAATAATTTAACAATATTTACACTATGTACAACAAATACTGATGAGCGTCAGTTTTTCTTTACATTCATTTGCAGCTGATATCGAGTGACCTAAATTAGTCAGGCAGATATTAACAGAAATTTGAAAAATAATAGAAATGTTGTAAAAATCTTTATACTTAACGCATTATAAAATTTTAGAAAATACAGATACGGTGATAAATTTAGAAGTATCATTAAACAGATTGCATTGATTTGAAACAATCACATGAATTTTTAAAAAACTAAATTAAGTTTAAAATGTACATTTTTATAAAAAAATACTTCGACAAGAAAATTTGAAAATGTATGATAAATTTTTACACTAATTTTTGCATCATCTAATATAGTGAATTATTTTATTGCTTAAATGGACATACAGTTTATCTTCTTGAACCAAATAATTTTAAAATCTAAATCATTTGAAAACTCTATATTAAAAATCTTCAACCAAAAATGAAAAAAAAAAAAATAATAATAATAATAAAAAAAAAAAAATACAGAAGTATTTAAGTAAGTAACAATGGCAGTGAAAACAAATTACAAAATATCAAGTATTGGTAATTTAAATTATTAAATAATCCAAAATTAAATAAATTTATAAAGTACAATATCTAAAACAAAAAATAATTCTATAAACAGCTGATTTACAGATTATTGCTCTATTGTACTATAATATTTCTTAAAATCTCACATGTGCAATATCGAGAGGAAAAAATCTGTAAAATTATTACTTACAGATGATTATTCTATTGTACTTGCACTGCAAATATTTCTATATGAGAATGTCCTAAAAATACTGATAGTCGTGCAGTTTGGAAGAATGTCATGATTTGGCTACGAGGTAACAAAATAGTTCAGCACTTGCAATGGTACACCCTACATGGTTGTCCTGCAATTAGGAGGTTAATACTTATCGTTCTTTTTGGAACATCAAATGTTCATGTCAGTTATAAAGTGTGACACACGCTGAAGTTCATTCTGCTGTCGAAGGTAATCTTTCTCTTACTCGTTGACAGAACCCTTTTGTGCCATCAGGACCTCTTGGTACTCGGATGGTTTTGACTGGAAGACTCTGCAGCAGGGAGCCCGTCGAAGACACTGAAGATGTCAAATTCGAATCGGACAGCATCATCTGCTCCCGTCTCCTGCGCCAAGGGCTGAGAGTCTCGATGGTATCGGTCTCAGTCTTCTGCAGGCGGTCCCTCGATCCATTATACCGGTTGCTCAGCGATGCGAAAGATGAATTTGGATCATTATAGATGGAAGGATTGAAACTATGTCGTCTAGGATATCTGCTGTCGAAAGTGTTTCCAGTGTTGTTACCTGGAGAGGAAGAGAGATAACCGGAACTCTGAGAGCTCATGGATCCACTCCGTCTCGTTCTCTTTGGGTCATCAACAAGCAGATTGCTTTTCTGCTTCTCGATAGTTTTTTTGTCTGCTGATGATTTCCTATTCTTTTTCTTTTTCTTAGGACTTTCCTTGGTAGCACTGGAATCGTTGTTATTAGGCGAAGGCTTGGCGATTTCCTTTTTAGGGGATTCAGCTTTATTAGTTTTATTGTCCTTTAGTAGAACCGGTATCACTTTTATCTCTGATGACTGGTTGCTTTCCAAGGCTTTCTTGGCTGAAGCGTGTTCTTCGAATTCCACAAGAGCGCAAATCTTAGCCTGAACATCTGGATTCTTTGAAAGGAATCGTTTAATATCAGAAGGTATGGATCCTCCAGGTCTCAGGATTCTCACAAGAGCTATGTCTCCGCAACTAGAAAACATCTCGCTGATACTGTCGACAGATGGCTTATCGGAATTGAAGCCGTATACTATGATAGATCTTGAAGTAACTGTCTCGTCGTGGTCAGGTAAAGGAGTCAAACGTTTCACTTTCGTGCCATCTGCATTGAGAGCTAGCATCTGAGACTTTTTGACACTGTGAGCTACGGCTTTCCAGTTTCGGCACAGACTTCTAACTTTGCGAAAAGATGCCAAGAGTTTCAAGCTCACGTAACCTTCCTTATTGCGACGAACATGTTTCAGCAAAAATGGATCCTTGAGAATATTAGCATCAGAAAGATAGAACTCTACCATCTTCATGATATTCTCTGCAGTCTCATCATCGGGAATATCGAATGCTTGTTCTGATCCACTACAGTCAACTCCAGAATCCTTCGGTTCTGAATCAGACAAATTCAGTCCTTCTTCGCTGTGATTCCCACAAGAGGAATCATCATCTATATCCTCAACTGACAAAGTCGGCTTCATCGCCTTCGTTGTAGCAACTACAGCGCTCATTTTAATTTACGCTGGCGGCAGCTCTGGATAGAGAGATCACGGGAGAAACGCGGTTGTTCAAAACGGCGGGAAGTATCCGAAGAAGCAAACTTTACAGGATATCTTCCTCTTTCTTCCCACAAGCTTTGATGATGACGATTTCTACTGCTGCGATCTGATTAATCCGCAAGAGCCGAGTTAAGAGTTTTTATGCTGTTCGGATTACGCCCCGCGTTCTGATTGGACGAAGAGGAAAACGAACGATCCCGCCACGTCGCTAGCTGTGACAGCGGCAGATCTAGGATTACTCATCACCGCCGCGTGACGTCACTGCGAAAGGTGATTTGGAAGCCCCGATCTTCTGTCGCCGGTTGGTATTGTGCGATGCAATTGCTGTAAGGCTTCTGCATGCACGAGGAAAGTCGTGTGATTATGAGTGTGCGCTTGAACATTGTGACCGCTACAAACGTGAGAGATTAACAGGTGTCTTTTCTTACTTCGCATTTTCTAAAGGGGAGAAACTGTACGACAGAAAACTTATCGCTTTGATGAAATGCGTTGTATAAAAGAAATAGGTTAATTCAAAGCGAAAAAGAATACGCATTAACTAGAGATAAGCGAAATATCGATAAATGTTTTTATGACTCATCAAAATTTGAGTATTTTAATCAGAAATATTTTGTATTGTCTTAGCAAAGTAATATCTTTTTGCGTAATATGAAATAAAAATATTAAATGGGCTTTTTTTTATTTTTAAGGATATATGTTTTCAAAGGCATTTATTTCTTTTATAAGACATGATTTTTTTTTAAATTTGTATTTTTAGAAGCATGTTAATTTTAGAAGAAAAATTTTAATTTGTTTTAAAATTTGAGTCTGTCTTAATAAAAAAGTGCCTCGGAATATCTAATTTTCCTTATCGTGTCCCATTTGAACTCGTAAAACATTAATAGAAGTAAATTAATGAATATAAAATAATAATAATAATAAAAGAAGAAGAAAGAAAATTTGAAAACTCTCAAATTTTATACTACTCCCAAATGGGTGCTTTTTTTTCATTTACAGGCACATACACGTTTCGAGAGCATTTGGGCTATCACCACCTTCGGTTAAAAATATAAAACAGTATATCTTAGAATTTCCGATAGACAGTCTCTCTCGCGCGCTAGAGATAAAAAAAAAGCGTTTGATTCCTTATAGTGTTGCCATCGCATGCGTGGAAATGTTTTAATTTTTTAATCAAAAATTCGTTAAATTTTACAAAATATGAAATACACAATAAAACAAAATCGAAATTCAAAATTCGGGTTTCCAGGTGCCCATCTTCGGGTGGAGGACTAGGTTATACAAAATTTGATGTCTCTCTTTTTTGGGGGGACAGGGCGAGAAACATTCATTCATACAGGTTCTTCATTTCTTATGTTTTTTTTTTAAATATAATACAGGCCGATAGCATTTAATGGCAACAATTTGAAAAGTGATACAGCCGTTTATAGTGATTCGTTGCAAAATATTGTTTCGCGACTAAAAGCACTTTTGGGCTAATAAGATCCATTTATGGTTACGAAGTAGTGTCAAATACCTTTATAATAGCGAAATTTCTCATCTTTTCTCAAATTAAATTTTATTCTCCATTTTTAAATTAATTATCCAACAACAACAACAAAAAAGTAAGTTTCTTCATATTGTAGATTTCATGAAAAGAATATTTAATTTTTAAATTTATCGAAACCCTACTAAGGCGACCATCTTTGGTTCCAACTTTGGGCGCCTTTATATAATTATGCACATAGAATCGTTTTCAGAAATGGTCCCCGTAATTTATTCCATGGCACATTTATAATATATAATGATTTGGTTTTCCTCGGATGAATGGCTGATAATGAATCTACAGATACTTTGCCAACGATAACGTTCTTTTTTGGTTTCGTACTATTTGTACACAAAATATTTTTTCTTTCTTTACCTTATAATATTCACTTTACTATAAATAAAAAAAAACCCTGATGTGTACACCACATGACTTCTTTGTACGGAATATTAAATTATACGCATTTTTCTTGCATTTCATTTAAACGTATTGGATTGAATTAAATTTACTTCGCCGACAGCGCATAAACCACAATAGAATAAATGTATTCTTTAAAATTCAGTCTATTTGTTTACCATAGCGACACTCTGGCGCTAGGTTCACTTAACAGTATTCTATTTCGTTCATATTATAACTCAGAATGCAGAAAATTTATATCATTTAAAGAATTATCTAATCGTTGCCACATGTTCTATTCAAATACTATAATAAAGCTAGAACAATGTATAAAAGAAATTAAGCAAACAAAACAAAAAAAGAAACAGTTTTTCACAGACGATTGAGTATTTCTCATTCAATTAATTCAGTTCTCACTTCTCTACAAGGCAAAAATACATAAAACCTCAAAATATATGTATTAAAAATTACGAAGTAAATCTTAAACACATATTTCCTGGAAAAATTTCAGAAAGGATTAAGCATGATTTAATTCGCAATAATAAATGAAGGTGTAATCTTTGTTGTTGCGAAGCTGAGTTTCTCTAGATTGGTAACAAATCCACTATCCTGATGTTTCAAATGTAAACAAGCAATGGCTGCCATCAAAAAAATTATTAGGCTTAACGGCACTTAAACAACTTTAAAATTGTTGATAATTCAAAAAATATTGCATACAGATTTACTAAAGGCATAAAAAACTTAACCAGAAGATAAGAACAACGTAATTCAATCATTTTTAAAGCAAAAAATGTACAATTTACAAACATATAAGAGGAAAGAAACTGAGATCACTGAGCCGGGTAACAGAGTGGATATATATATATATATATATATATATATATATATATTTATATACGTTTGGTGCTGCCGATTGCAACCAAAATACGAGGTGCACATCTACATGTTATAGCAGTCCTATATACAAAATGTCAACGTTCTGAGGGGCTACTCGTTTTTGAGTTATAACACACGTTCGTACAGACGCCACGAAAAATTCTTTTTAGAATTCACCAGTAGTTTTTACTTCTTTTAAATCGTATTTTTTTAGAATCATTTTTTTAAAGTAGATTTTTTTGGAAATCTAGTATTTTATTCTGTCCTTACGTACAGATATCACGCAAAAACATCGTTAAATTGCATTCCATAAAGGTCAAAATGGATATTTTCGTTGAAATATGCTGCCTAAAACTTATCGCGATTACAATACTTCCTTTTTACTTCGTACAAGGAAGTAAAAATTGTTGTATTTTTACTCGCACGCATTACATTAGCAAGCATACATACTCTCTCTCGGTAGTAGTTGATATTGTCTCAACTATGCTTGTGTAAGATTTTCGTTCAAAATGCATCTTAGTATATTGTAATGCTATCTTGAAATATTTAAAAAGATAGAAATTATAGCCATGAGATGAACATTTTATGTATTTGGGAAATTTCCAGCTTTTTAATTTAAATGTATGCAACTATTTTATATAAAAGTTGCATTAACATTTAGAATGAAGTTAAACAATATTTGACAGTATTCTTATATATCTCTTCTTAAGAAATTAGGCATTCGAAAACCGGGACAGCTAAAAAATAATGACTTTTGAAAACTCCCTGAACAATGTTAGTTCCGACAGGGGTTCTAATCCATACGAACGGGCTGACTGCATGGGCATTTTCGTATTTTTACCCATGTGTAATGTGTATCCGAGCCATTTTCATTTAGAAAGGTCCTCAACCAAGGCATTCCTCCCGTTAGCCCTAGTGTGCTTTGACATAATAAATTAAACCAAACAATTATTATAAAATTAAAGCTAAAAGTATTTTATCTTTTAGCTGCGATTTCCTAATAAGTAAATATACAGAGGTAAATTCAGATGAGTTTTGATGACGATGGATTACCAAGAGAAGATCTTGATTTGTACACGTTTCTACATATCGAATATGCATAAAATATTTTTCCATTACTTCCAGCATGCCTTCGTGGCGTTACGCTAACACGACCGGCGCGTATTCGAGAGGTCCAGGTTCGAGTCCTGGAGAGAGCATTGCTAATTTTTCATGTACTCCCGCTTCAAAATAACCTAATGGTTCTACAGTGGCTCCGAAACTAAAGCATGTCGGACAATAATTCGTCAAACCAGAATTTGGCAATTGGGTCCCCTAATTACCAGTTGCTTTTTAAAAGGGGGAGTATATAAGGTATTTTCTGTCTCCTTCCAGCATGCCTTCGTTGTGTAACTATAGTACACTCGGCTCGTATTTGAGAGGTCCAGGTTGGGGTCCCGGCGAATCGCTCAATTTTCATGTACTCCTGCTTCAAAATAGCCTAATGATTCTGTAGCTGATATAACTATTTCCTGTTCTTTAAATGAACGAGTTAACGTTTGAAAACATAATAATTTTGAAATATTGATGTGTAAGAATAGTAGAAACTACAAATTCCGAATTGTGTTTCCCCCGATTTTCAAGCAACGATATATAGGGTGTTTCATAGATCATGGGACAAACTTGGAGGGGTGGTGAAGCGTACTAAAACATGCATTTTTTGTATAGGAATGTAGAGTCTAAAGTGACGTGTTAAGGCAGGAACGCCAAAAAAAAAAGACACGAGTGAAAAATGTGTTTATGTACAAAATCAACGCAAAGTGCTTCTTTGCAGCAATACAGTATTCAAAATAAATGTTCAAAAAAGGGAACACTAACAGTAATAGGAACTACAGCTGTTGTGATTGGCTAGTAATGCAGCGGTAGAGGGCGGTAGTCAGCCGGACAAACCACGATCCGATGCCTCAGAGCATCTCATGTACCGTGCTGCTAATGGGAACGGCAGAGCAGCGCTACGGTTGTACCAGGAACGGTTTCCGAACAGGCGTATGCCGAAGCACACAATGTTCTAGAGGTTGCATCGGTCTTTATGTGAAAAAGGGTCATTTGAAGCCACCTCTGACACTAGGAGTGGAAGAAGAAGTGCACGACAACCTCGCATTGACGAACCCATCTTGAACATTGTGCATGAATCACCTCAGACAAGTACAAGAGCTATTTGCACGTCGCCTGCAGCTGAGTCATTCCACCGTTTGGAGAGTATTGCATGAAAATGGTTTGCACCCATACCATTTGCAGAGAGTCCAAGCCTTGCAAGAGACAGATTCCCTTCTTCGAGTTCATTTCTGTCATTGGTTCTTGCAGCAGTGTGCGGCGCAGGCGGATTTCCCATCGGATGTGCTA